CCATTGAGACTTAAATTTGTGATAGGAGGAGTTGTGCAGGGCTGTTCTTCTTTCCATCTCACATTGGAGATTGAGATCAGAAAATAGGCGTGACAAAAGAGGAGTTGAAGTGGATCGCCATAGTTTGGTAATGTTAATTTTAGCGGCTGCTAAAATGTGTATAATGATAATGCGTGAGTTCGTAGGGTATTTATCAATCCCGATGTGAAGGAGGGCTAGTGCTGGGTTCGGGGATATTTGTGTTTCCGCAATTGAGGAGACTATCTGGAACACCTTGTTCCAATATGATTTGAGAGACTTACACAGCCAGAGTAAGTGAAGTAGTGAGCCTGTCTCTCCACAGTGTCTCCAACATGCTTGCGAGAGCTGGGGATAATAGAGGGATAGTTTGGTAGGGTTAGGTACCCCTGATGGAGAGTTTTTAGATACGTTTCCCAATGAGAGCTGCATTTTGAGGCTTTGAAAGTAATAGTGAATGTTTTTTCCCAGGTAAGTGGAGCTATTGGAAGAAGTTTTCCCCAGTTGGCTAATGAGGTAGTATTTGTGGGAAATAGGGTTCCAATTATAGTTGTGTAAAAATTTGAAATTCCTTTTTTTGGGTAAGTGGACATCTGGAAGAATTGGTGCGTAGATACCGGGACTTTTACCTCTGATGGTATGGGTTTTTTTTTTGTAGTGTATGGGCTATCCGCATGTATGTGAATTGTTCCATGTCTGGAAGATGGAATTTCTTTTGGATAGTGGAAAATGAGTCAAGCTTAGGATTAGTGTAGATATCATGAATAATGCAGTAAGCCAGCAGCTTTCCACCTTGTTAGGTTTAGTTGTGGGATGATGTGGTGTAAGGAGGACAGTGGGACCGGGGTTCGCACTGTATTTTGATTTAACTGACAGTTATTTATTAAGGACTATATATTCATATGTATTGGAGTGGGTCACCATTTGAGTCTTATTTTCCTTATTTCTATTCATTATGTCATCATTGTTGGTATACTTCTAATAATTGTTAGCACACAATCATTTTGCAAATTTTGCACATGTACATTTATATTTGCATAATATTGTTGTGCACACATTTATGGTGTGGCTTACATGACAATTTCTAGCAGCAACACATTCACCCAATATTTAATTAGTACAACATTTGTTGGCTAGCACAGGGTTATTTTGTGGGGTGTATTATGTCCAGAACAGGGCATGACTGAGGTACTTCCATATAAACGAAGAGAAGATAAAAAGAAAAAAAAAAAAAAAAAAAAAAGAAGAAGGACACAGGCTGCAGGAGATATCTACAGGACAAAATTATGGAAACACAAGGTAAAAGAAAAAAATTGTTACCCAATATGGTATTGGACTGCTTTTGGCATCCAAGACGGCCTGAATTCTCCTGGGAATTGACAAATATGAGTCTTGCATAGTGGATAATGGAATCCGATACCATTCTTCATGCAAAAATCGCTCTAGTTCTTGCAGAGATGCCAGAGGAGGAAAAGAAGCCCAAAACTTATATCCAAAATTGACTACAGTGACTCTATGATATTAAGGTCAAACAACTGTGGCGCCCAGGGAAGGTGCAAGAGTTTGTCTGCATGCTTGTCAAACCAAGATTTGACAACACCAGCTGTGTGAATCCGAACATTATCTTCTTGGTAAATGACGCTGTCTTCGGGAAACTATATCTACTATATGGCTAAAATTTGTACAGTCGCTGGCAGTAACTACCTTTCAAACTGATGAGGCCTGCAGAATACGATGATTGCGAGGCAACCATGTTTTAACGCTGGCACAAGACAGTCCTGGTCGTAAGCTTGGGACAATCTCTCCTCTTCTGAGCATGAATATTGGTCGCTAGTGGTTTGGCAATTGCAATTCTCCTGTGAATGCTTTGCTTATGGAGTTCCCTCTGCAGTATTTGTGGACACGACCTTTGGAAGACTGAGATTGAGCTCTGTAGTCACTTTTGCAGCAGTGGTTTTCCTATTCCGGGTCACAATCCTGCACAATATCCTTTTGTCTCTTTCAGTCAGTTGACCGCACTTACTCCTCATGCACACTGGATGTTTTTTTGTACAACCAGTAAACTCCCCAGCATGTTATCCTATGTGTCCATGCACACAGGCTTTAATCAGAGTTTTTTTGGCATGGGCATTTTTTGGCTGGAACCCAACCCCCCCCCCCCCCCCCCCCCAAGAACTAGTAAGTTTCTAGGGGTTTTAACTGTAAAAACGCTCCAACGCTGGTAAACGTGAAAAAGCAGCTTTTTTTTGAGCCAAAATATTTTTTTTTTGTGTGTATAAAAAACACTAAAAAACGCAAACGTAGAACAACACAGCTAGACACTAATTCAGAAACGCAAAAAAAGAAAAATTCACGTTTGTAACATACTTTACACAGCTAACGCTACTGGCGTTTTTTTTAAAATGCCCAGTGTGCATGAGGACTTATGCACAGACTGTTTCCCAGAAACTGTATATGGAACCTCTCCCAACAATTCATGTTGCAACGTTTGCACATTTATATTTGCATAATCTAGTTGTGCGGCACTTTATCGTATTATACATTTCTGGTATGGCTTATACATGACAGTTGCAGTGGCAACGCATTCACCTATTATATATTACTTATCTAGTATGATATTTGTTAGCAAGAGCAGGGTTCTTTTGTGATATTTAATACAGGGGTTAGACAACAGAATGGAAGCACTATATGATTTGCAGGTGTGAAGGGGACATGTTTCGCATTGAAAATGAAAGTGCTGTAATGTTCTTTTGCTTCCGCTATGTGATGAGACACCTAGCTAAAAGGTGGGAAGTCTCGTTTGCGTAATTCACTTTGTGCGTTGCTAGTACACAGCGTTATGTCAGAGCTTACTGAGTTTCATACTGTTGGTGCCCACTAGGCTGGTGCCTCTGACTGAAGCTGTCAATTTATTTTTGCGGTGTCGCAAGGTACAGTATCAAACGTTACGATGGCATATACAGTTTCCGGGAAAACGTCATCTGATAAGCAATGACAGACAATCTGGGGTTAAGGCCTGCAGGGAATATAGCTGTCCCTCCACAGGATGCAGTCGCACTCAATGTTCAGTGGGGTGACCGAGACAATCTTACGCACTGCACTATCTGGATGCCAGTGTATTCAGAACAGAAAATCTTTGAGCCCCAAAAGATGGGAAAGATGTGTCAGCAGAGGTGCCCAAATGTAAAAAGAGAAGCTGAGTTGATAAAGTTGATTCTTCACAAAAGTATCAACACAAATATGTATAAAACAATATATATATATATATATATATATATATATATATATATATATATATATATATATATATATAAAATTCATAATATTTTACAAGGGCAGGGATGCACTGAAATGTCGGCGGCTGAAACATATCGACGGAAAATAGCCCTATCAGCATTTTGCCATTAGGAAAACTTTAGCAGATACAGGGGGCTGTGTGTACTGCAGATGGGGAGGGTGGGGGCGACGAAGAACAGCACTGTACACAGTGATCTACTGCTAAATGTCACTGCCGGTTTTTAAATGCAATTGCCAGCCTTTTTTCCCCTTCACTATAGCTTCAAGAAGGAGATGTCATTCTCCCTGCTGATAAAGGAAACTAAGGGGCAGGGTCTTTGGGTAATGTCACTAGGTGACTCCACCCCTTTAGCGGTGGGGAGAATGACAGCTCCTTCTCTGAGCTATAGTGAAGGGAAAAAAAGCCAGTAATTACATAAAAACAATGCCGTTTTTTAAATCTAATTACCAATTTTTTTTCCCAGTCATCATGTGAATTTACAGATTCATAATAATCTAGATCACAGATTATTCATAATAATCTGTATCAAATAATATTGGTATTTGATACTTACTTTAACAGATATATAAAATTTATGCAGGGAATAAATATCAAATTTATGAAGTGCCTCTACTGACACAATTTTCTCATCTTCGCTCGCTCATCCATGTCTTTATGGACCTTGCTTTGTGCACTGGTGAGCAGTCATGTTGGAACAAGAAGGGACCATCCCCAAACTGTTCCTACAATGTTGGGAGCATGAAATTGTCCAAAATGTCTTGGTATGCTGACACCTTAAGAGTTCCCTTCACTGCAACAAAGGGGCCAAGCCTAACCCCTGAAAAACAACCCCACACTATAATCCCCCCCTCCACAAAACTTTACATTTGGCACAATGCAATCAGGCAAATACCATTCTCCTGGCAACCGCGAGACACGTCCATCAGATTACCAGACAGATAAGAGTCACTTCAGAGAACACGTCTCCACTGCTCTAGAGTCCAGTGGCAGTGTGCTTTACACCACGGCATCTGACACTTAGCATTGCATTTGATGACGTAAGGCTTGGATGCAGCTCTTGGCCATGGAAACCCATTGCATGAAGCGCTCTATGCACTGTTTCGCTAATCTGAAGGCCACACGAAGTTTGGAAGTCTTTAGCTATTGGCTCTGCAGACAGTTGGCGACTTCTGCACACTGTGAGCATGTGTTGACCCTGCTTTGTCATTTTATGTGGTCTACCACTTCGTGGCTCAGTTTCTGTTGTCCCCAGTTGCTTCCACTTTGTTACAATACCACTAACAGTTGACCGTGGAATATTTAGCAGCAAGGAAATTTCACGGATGGACACAGATGGCAAACTATCATGGTACCACGCTTGAATTCACTGAGCTCCTGAGAGCGACTCATTCTTTCACAAATGTCTCTCATAGTTGAGGTCTACCTATGATGCCAATTACAGGCCTCTCTCATCTTTTTAAGTGGGACAACTTGCACAATTGGTGGCTGACTAAATACTTTTTTGTATGTGTGTGTGTGCATGTGCGTGTGCGTGTGTGTCTATAGCTATCTACACACAAGTAGCCAAATTCTGCTGTGAACATTTTGTGGCTATGGGTACCCTAATGCATAGTCATACTTTGACTGCGCTACAGAAGTTAAACAAATGCCCTGGTTGCTATTTTAAAAAAAACAAAACACTTACTTTTTACACATAGTGCAGAGCTTCTTTGGAGCTGGCTTCTGTGAAAAAGATGATAAACAAGAAGTGGAACAGAACAAGTGAGTGGATCCTTTGCGTTGGTATGCGGTCTGCCCTTTTTGAAGTGGCTTCTTGCAGTTTGCACATGTCACTTTTACAGCTTTTGACGGCTGTTGTGGTGGTGGAGGCTGCTGTAAAACTTGTTTTGGAAGGGAGGCTACTGGTGACATGATTTCCACACCTGGCTGCTGATTTCGTGGAAATGAAGCAGACTGGGATAGCCAGGCATCTATAAAAGGAAAAGTTTAAAGTTCACAAAAAGCACAATTAGAAATTAAAAACATAATTTCCAATTATTTCTACAAAATACCTAGCCATCAACAGGCAAAAGAAAACCCCTATTTGTGCAAAATACTTGTGCTGAAAGCTGATAATTGGCATCTTACATCGCTGTTTTGAACATAAATGATTTGATTTACAGGACTGAAAGTTTTAAAACACAACAAATAAAACCAATCCGCTGTGGACAACCCTGTTCCTGACACATTACACTTTTATACTGCTGTGAAAATTCACATCCCTCTCAGTTTTGGTATGTTCACAATATACCAGGCTTAACCAGCAATGAATGGTGCAATAATGCAGTTTTTGTTTCTGTAAATGTTGGGGTTGGGGGCAACCTATAGAGTAACAAACAGATAGGTCTGAAGACGCAATAGGGGAAAAAAAAAATAAAAAGGCAGCACAGTGGCTAAATGGTTCACTTCCGCCTGGCAGTACTAGGATTGTTGGTTCGAATCCCAACCACAGTATAACCTGCCTGGAGTTTGCATGTTGTCTCCCAGTGGCTGCGTGGGTTTCCTCCGGTTTCTTACCACACTCCAAACACATGCTGGTAGGTTAATTGGGTCCTGTCTAAATTTACCCTAATATGTGTATGTATGAATGTGAGTTAGGGACCTTAGATTGTACACCCCCTGAGGGTTAGGGACTGATATGAATGTACAATATATATGTAAAGTACTGCGTAAAATTGACAGTGCTATATGAGTACCTGAAATAAATAAAAATAAATGAATTTTAAAAAGCTGCACTATGCTGGAATTCCTTTAAGAGATTTGTTAATAATATCGGTTCATGGTAGACTGTACAGATTATTCAAATGGCAGTTATTACTGAAGCTAACCATTCTCTTGGGTGGACCAATAATTAAGTGTAAACTTGCATCAGCAGTTTTGCTGGGATGGATAAAGTAAAGAAAGACTGAAGTACTATTCCTTCAGCAAACTCTGCCCCAGGCTTCTTTCAGTGCAGGTCACATCACCTAATATTTAAGCATTCGGTCACATTTTTTCTAAGAGCTCAAGCGGATTATTGATCCGAGAACCATGTTATTTTTAACTGTTTGGGCAAAACTACTAACATTGCTTTATATATCGTAGCTGATTTAAACCGGTTACCACAACGTTTCATGTTTATGATGCATCTGTTTTACCATGTACTTGTATGAAAAAGTATTCTGTGTTTTTACATTGCATCCTTTGTGTGAAATACCTGCCAGTCCCCCTGCTTTCCTATTTCAATCTAACCATACTAGGCATGGAAGCACATCAATCCCAGAGCGGTCAGTTTTCTTCTTTGCACTACACTTAGGAGGACCACCTGCCTGTGCTCCAATGGTCAGCCTCCTGCTGACACACACCCCTGCACAACTCTTCATTGTGAGGACCAGTGTACTGCAGTTTCTCTGTCTCCTGCTGACTCCCTCCCTCCACACTTCACCCCCAGCTCCCTAAGCCCCTTATGCAGCTAAGAACAGAGGTTATGTGATCACCTATAAAACAAGGTATTTTAAACACACACACACACACACACACACACACACCTTAGCCATAACATTATGACCACTGACAGGTACAGCAAATAAGAAGGCAACATACACTACATAGATTATCTCATTACAATGGCATCTGAAAGTGGAAGAGATATACTAGGCAGCAAGTGAACATGCTGTCCCTGAAGTTTATATGCTAAAAGCAGGAAAAAAAAAATAGGCAAGTGTAAGAAGTAACATTGACAACGGCCAAATTGTAACGACTAGGTCACAAACTCCAAAACTGCAGCTCTTTGTGGGATGTTCCTGGTCTGCAGTGGTCAGGACCTACCAAAGGTGGTCCAAGAAGGGAAAACCAGTGACCCTCTAACAGGTCTGTGGGTGGCCATGGCTCATTGATACATGATGGGGGGAGGGAGGGGGGGCAGAGGGGTGGATGGCATGGGGGTCTCGCCTGTGTAGTTCAATCCAATAGAAGAGCTACTGTAGCTCTAATTGATTAAGTTAATGCCGAAAGAATGGCACCCTAAATGTGATGCAATTCTGTCATGATAGCCGTGCAGCAAAAAATGCACCGTTAAATTGTGCTAGGTTTGTCGCCCAACAAGTAGCAGAAGCTTCTTTTGGGCAATAATCTCGCATAGGGCAGCCCACAGAAGTAAATGGGCTGCCCTATGTGTTTGACAAGCGGTTCTGCATGTAAATCGCTTTTGCAGCAGTTGTTTTCCTATTCCAGGTCACAATCCTGCACAATGTCCTTTTGTCTCTTTCAGTCAGTTGACCATGTCGACCGCGCTTACTCCTCATGCACACACACACAAAAAAAAAAACCACAAGTGAGAACGCTCGCTCCTTAACCGGGCCTGATAGTAAAACTAAGCCTACCGACTAAACTTATAACAAAGCTTACCGGTAGGTAAAATCAATATCTCCTAAATGTGCGTTGTTTAGGAGATATTTGCTATTTATGACAGTCAACGCATGCACTATGAAGGAATGGAACACCCGTGCTGCTCCTTCAGAGCGCTGTGCCATGGCCCGAGACTCTCACACCAGTCAGACAGCCAGAGCTCACAAACCTGGAAGGAAGACCAGGTGAAGATGGAAGCCCTGTCAGCAGTGACAGCATGCCACTGGCGGGCTTCGTTTTAAGGCAAGTCTTTCATAATGTGCTAGTTATGCAATGCATACTAGCACATTACGACATTATCTTGCAGGTGATTTTTTTTTTCCCCCCAAATTGCAGCTTACCACCGCTTTAACTTTTTTTTTTTTACTGAAAAAACATTAAACTAGGGATGCACCAAAATTTCGGTGGCCAAAATGTTTCGGCCAAAAACACCCCTTTTGGGTGTTGGCCAAAATGAAAAAAAAGCACCGATACAGGTGCAGAAAAAAACCCGCCCCTCGCATCCGCCAGGTAGTTCTCAGCATTACCTGAGAAACCATTGATTCCAACACTGGGCATAGAGATGAGTGAAGGAAAGATGGCCACCACTCATCTCTATGCCCTTGGAGGACCAGAGCTACGTCACTTTCCGTTCCAGCCATTTTTTAAAGCACTAGAACAATGCTTTATTTTGATCTAACGCTTTACATTGTAAAGGAGACGATGTGGGGGAACGCCATCTTTATTGACCCCATATCTCTCCCTCCCTGCATAAAGAGGACCTGCCACTAATTATTTCTATCACAAGGGATGCATAAGTTTCGTTCCTTGTGATAGGAATAAAAGTGATTCCTGCCTGACATTTTTATTTTTTTTTGGCCCTGTGTGGGTCGAAAAAAAAGGGACAGTGCAAACAGAAAAACAAAAAGAAAAAAAAAAAAAACCACAGTAACGTGCCTCTGTCCCCCCATTATTATGTGCTCGCACGTATATTATGTGGTGAACGCATTACATAGGCCAGTGCCCACATAATAATTTTTAAACAGTGTTCAAACCACACATGTGAGGTATTGCTACGAACGTCAGAGCAAGAGCAATAATTCTAGCAGTAGACCTAGTCTGTAAGTTTACACTGGTAACCTGTAGACATTTTAAAGCATCACCCATGGAGATTTTTTAAGTACCGCAGTTTCACGGCATTCCACGAGCATGTGCGCAATTTTAAAGCGTGACATGTTGGGTATCTATTTACTCGCCGTAACATCCTCCTTCATATTTTACAAAACAATTGGAGTATATATTGGTTTTCTTGGGGTTTTTTTTTTTAATCAGATTATTTTTTCCAAAAAACATATATTAATTTTAAAAAAAAATGCACATTTCGTTTTCGGCACCTGAATTTTCATTTCGGTGCACCACTACTTTAAGCTATATTTAAAAAGCCATAATATAACAAAATTTAAAAGTATATGTTGGGGTAATACAATTATACAAAAAAATGCAGTACATCTTTCCAAAAACATGCATATTTTCCCTTTTTTGTCTTTTTAGGAAAATACCTGTAGATCTGACAGAAAGCTAGTGTGCGCTCGACGTCCTGTTTGACCTGACAGCACACTGACTTGCTGCACTAAAATATTGACCAGTGCTGTCAGCCCTGCCCAGTTCTTCCATTGGATGCCATTTAGGTTTTGGAAATGAGAAGAGAAGGGATTCTGTAGTCCACCAGAAGAGGTCAATGACCAGGGAACTAGTGTGCTGATCATAGCAAAACCAGGCATCCTTATTTAGTACTTGACATACGTATTCTAGGTCGGTGACAAAGCAAAGAAATTTTTCTTTTAAAGTAACACTGCTGATCTGCAGAATTCTGATTGTTTCAAAACATCTTGCACATGGCCACTGAAAAGATATCACTAGTTCTGTAAACTATCAATTCAAAGCATGGGGTTTAATCAGGACTAACAGAACATGTAAACAAGATTTTTGTAAAGTATAACAACACTACACCCTATTGGAAGACGCTCTAGTATACAGTATATTTATTGCCTTTTGATTTATGGCCTTGTTGATTTTAGACTGGCAAAGATCTGTGTTATGCCCATCAGCCACAGCTGCTGTGATGTCAAGATAAAACACTAAATTATTTTCGCCATAAAGCAATGGAAATTCCAGTGACAATGGTGTAATGCCCTCAAGGTGACCTTAATGGCAGAAACCACAATTGCCACACAACTAGCAAGCGATGACATTTACACATATACACATACCTTATATAGGTAGCCCATATACCAGTTTTAACTTACCAGAAGTATGATGAGTTGAAGATTCACCGTTTTGAAAAACATCACCACTAACATTAATTCGTCCTGGATTATAAGGTCCTGTTGTAGACTTGTTCTGTGAGGTAAGTGGAGATGGATAGGTCTGGACATGGCCACCAAAATTAGCTCCTTGTAATCCATTAGGCACCTCTCCCATGCCAGGGTTTTGCAGTGAGGTCACATGAGTAATCATCAGATTCATATCTCTACTCTCACTACTCTGAATTGGACCATCACCTACAGAACCTAATCCTGAGTCTAATGTGGTGACATTTGCAATCTGTATTTCAGAGTCAGGCTCAGTAGTAATACCAGAATTTATCATCCCAGTATTGGGCTTGTTTCTTGGGAAAGTAGATGCCGATGGAAAATCCGCAACAGGTCTACTGGAGTCCATAAGCCTGGGAGTACTGAAACTGGAAGCATTTTTGTCTGGTGCACGACTGGGCTCAGGTTCTTCCTCATCATCAATTATGATAGTCTCACTTATAATTCCCTTGCCAGAATCTGCATCTTTACTGGAAGAGTGTGATTTTAGTTCTGCCCTGTGATTTTCATTTACTGATGGAGGAAATCCTGAACTTCTTGATGCAGAAGGTGGGGCAGACTGAGGAACCTGAACAGGTTCAATGAAAACAACATCATCATCATCGTCAACTATAACAGCAGGTGCACTCTGGAAGGTTTTTGAAGGTGATGGACCACCAAACGCATTGCCCACATTTTTCAGTCCTGTAGCCATGGCATTAGAAATCCAGAAGCCGTTTGTCAATCAACCCTATTCAAAGGGCAAAGGTACATCCCAGATAAAATAACCTGTCATGGACAGAGGAGAAAAAATATTAAGAATTATATATTAAAATATATGTTAAAAGCCCAACAGAGCCAAAATACAATTACATTTCAACAAAGAACAAAAAGAAACAGACTCAAACACTGATTTCTGAACAGTGGCAAGACAAAGGGCTTGTTCCGCTCATTTGAGCTGAGCTGATCTGCATAGATCAATGCAGGCCCAACACAAGGACACATAGAAAACTACTGCTTTTTATGTGCCCTGTTTCCACACTAAAGCTGCATTAAGGTGGGATGCGCGGTGTAAAAATGCATATGTACATGATTTTACCACCCCCCGCGCATGCAGTGCAGCTCTTTATCCTTATTGTTGCCTTTGAGGTTTTCAACCTTAAAAAGGTAGAATATCTTATAGAAAAGGAAGGTCAGTCCTGTTTTTGAGCAAACAAATTTGCCAAGTTGGGTAAAGATGTGTGAGTGGCAAACTCAAAGGTTGCAGTCGTAGACGTCACGGCTTCCCTGAACAGCCAGGAGGGCAGCCTATTTAGTAAGGGTTGTGAGGGTAATTCAGGAAAGCCTAGACAGCTGGAGGTAACTGGGATTCTATAAATCAGAAAGATTGATATAATCATTTGTCACCAGGAATGCCTCAACCAAATGGCTTGCTGTCTCTTTTTCGATTGGTATTAACCGCAGCGCCCTGCTGTTTGCCATTTCTTGCTTTATGAGGTGATTCTGCCCAGATCTCACGGGGACTGCAGAAGTGAACCATGTTCCATCCATCCCTTCATCCACTCTACAATTTATCTGCTATTGCAGTAATTGCTGCTATACGACAGACTTAGTGTGTTGTAACACAGTACAAAAGAGTGCTGGATGTTCTGTGTAATTATTACGTTTCTTTTTGATAAGGAGTTTCCCATGTTACAAACAACCATTGGCAATTACAGTACTTTTTGTGCTACATAAAAATAATCAAATTTCTTTCAGAGAAATAGGGTAAAACAAAAAGGTGGCAGTGTCTGCCTCTATGGGGAAATGATCTCAAAGTCTTTAGTCCCCTGACTTCCCTGTCAAAATCAATGGAACAGCTATCAACCCGTCCCTGCATCCCAGGGTACTAGGTGTGAACTCTCCTTTCGCCCTCACATCCAATGTCACAAGCCTGCATCCTCAACCTCTGTAACATCTTTAAAATATGCCCCTCCTTGACCATTGACACCACAAAGCTCCTAATTCACTCCCTGGTCATCTCTCGACTACTGCGACTCCCTCCTGTGGATTACCTTTACATAAGCTACCCCCCCCCCCCTTCAGTCCATCATGAATGCTGCTGTCATTCTCATCCACCTCACCAACTGTTCAGTGTCTGATTCTCCCCTCTGCTAATCCCTCCACTGGCTTCCACTCATCCAACAAATTAAATTCAAAATACTAACAATAACTTACAAAGCCATACACAACTCAGTCCCTAACTACATCACTAACCTATTCTCCAAATACCAACCAAATTGTTCTCTTCACTCCTCTCAAGACCTCTTGCTCTCTAGCTCCTGTGTCACCATCTTCAATGCTCGCCTACAGGGCTTCTCCCGAACCTCTTCCATCCTATGGAACGTGCTACCCCAATCTGTCCGACTGTCCGATATTGAACTGTATTGCAACTGAAATTGACTGGAGTAATGGCACTGCTGGAAATGTAAAAGTGGAAATTTTTAAACCTAGACAAATTTACGGTACAGTGTTAAGGCCCGATCTGCCTGGTAATTTCAAAGAAAGTGGAGCTTGTTACTTATATTCATGTAAAAGAACATCTGGATAAAAGCGATGATTTTATATAACAAGAACATACTGGAAAGATAACACATTTAAGAGAGCAAATTTTTCCAAGGCTGAGGGCTGCTCTCCAAGACTTAACACTGCAAAGGATCGAAGAAGACAGAAAAGAATTGAGAATGTTTCAAATTGACCACATGCAAACAGTGCAAAATGTATTCTCATGCACAGCAGGATTAAAAGGCTAAAAATAAAAACAATGTGACTGATGTAAAGTTTAAAAAAAAAAGAAAAGGGCATTTAGAAATATAAAAAATGAAGGAACACTAAAGCAGCCTTTTTCAAACCTGGTTGTCCAGGCACCTAGGCGTGCCTTCAGGTTTTTTCAGGGGTGCCTTGGCAAAATGCCTAAAAATTGCCCAAACATTGTACACAAGGCAGGTATAACAAGTCTGCCTCTCTGGTTACACAAAGCCACAGGTTTTCATTGGGCACCATGAAACCATCTAGCAGCTGGCGTCCCAACAACCGATGACGTAATCAGATGATAAAGAGGACTTCGGGTCCCTGAAAAGCATCCTTGTTTGCCCCTATCTGTCAATACTGTGGTCACATTACCCGAGTGAGGGAGAAGAGAAACAATGGAATACTGGGCAGTACCAGTGTGTATTTGCTTTGGAAGAATAAATCACCTAATGCTGGGTGTTCTATATGTGTGACGGGCAGGAGGGCTGCTTTGTTTACCAACAGTCCTCCTCATCGGCTAACCATAGAAGTGTGCTTACAGTGAAGCACCCGCAGTAAAACACTCCCACCACACAGTTAACCCTTTGATCGCCCCTCATATTCACCCCTTCCTGCCCAGTGCCATTAGTACAGTGTCAGTGCTTTTTTTTTTTTTTTAGCACTGATCACTGTATTGGTGTCACTGGGAATGTCAGTGACACAAAGTCAGTTCCCCCGTGTCAGAATGCCCGCTGCAGTCCCGCAATAAGTCGCTGATCGCCGGCATTGCTAGTAAAAAAAAAAAAAAAAAAAAAAAAAAAGAAAAAATTCCAGTATATATACCGCCATTTGTAAACACTAACTTTCACATAAACCAATTAATTTACACGTATTGGGATTTTTTTTTTTTTTTTTTTTAGCAAAGACATGTAGCAGAATACATTTTGGCCTAAAATTATGACGAAATTAGATTTTTTAAAATTTTTTCACTGGACATAAAATATTGTTTTTCTCAAAATTGTCAGTTTTTTTTTTTTTTTTTTTTTTTAATAGCACAAAAAATAAAAAAAAACCGTACAGGCGCTCAAATACCACCAAAAAGAAAGCTCATGGGGGGGGGGGGGGGGGGAGAAAGCTCATGGGGGGGGGGGGGGAGGATGTAAATTTCATTTGGGTGCAGCATTGCATGAGCGCGCAATTGTCAAAGTAACAAACGCGCCATAACGCAAAAAATGGCCTGTCAGGAAGAGGGGTAAATCCTCAGGAGGGCAAGTGGTTATTATCCAATTTTAACTTCAAAATTGACCCAATATTCGTGCTTGATGGAACTTGTAAGTAAAAGACTACTTAGATTCTAGTAATTACTAGCAATTCTTTGTGCAATTCCTGGTGGATGGAAAATGGCTGAGATTGACTAAAAATGGCTAAACGTATGGCCAGTTTCACCACTTGCCCTCCTGGGGATTTAACCCCCTTCCTGACCAGGCCATTTGGTGTTCGGCACTGTGCAATTTCAACTGGTAATTGCACGGTCATGCAATGCTGTACCTAAACGAAATGTATATCCTTTTTTTCACACAAAGCTTACTTTTGGTGGTGTTTGTTCACCTCTGTGGTTTTAAATTTTTGTGCTATGAACAAAAAAAAGACAGCAAGTTGATAAAAAAAAAAACATTTTTCACTTTTGGTTATTAAAAAAACCCCCCAATAAACTCAAATTTAGTCATAAATGTAGGCTAAAATGTATTTTGCAACGTCTTTGGTAATAAAAAAAAAAAATCTCATAGGTCACATGATCACTGGGTCCTATTCACCGGGATCTTCAATCCACTGTACAGTCACGAGGGGGGAGTATGAATACGTCGCTTTGACTGTAGCTGCCACTCTGCTGCAAGGACATTGTGGGTGGGCGGGAAGTGTGGTTAAGGGGTATGTATTGGAAATATTTTTTTTTTTTTTTTTGTTTTAAGGTTAGATTCCCCCCCCCCCCCACCGCCATTTCAGGTTTTTATTTGTGTTCTCACTAGGCAGTTTCCCACAAAGTAAGACAAAATAAAGATGGTGCGAGCAGCCCATTGGTTGACAAAGAAACCCTAATTGATCAGTGACTATGGTGGTTATTTCACCCTTGCTTGTTCAGCAATTGACTAGTATACATGCTACTCGTAATATTGCCATCCATGTCTATATTTATACTGTGCTCAGCTGTGCCACTGAGGTAGATTTTCATTCCTGAAGCTCTTTAACCACTTCCCAACCACGCACTCTAGTTTTACTGCTACAGTACGGGCTGGCTGTGCAGAATCAAGTATATATACGTGATTTTGCATTTCTGGGTAGGGAGCACGTGCGCCAATGATTTATGGATGGTGATTGTCGGAGAGAGTGACAGGAGAGAGCTCTGTGTCTCTAAACACAGAGCTCTCTACTGACAGCGGCAATGTGTCAGTTTTGGTCTCCCCGCAAGGCACAGAATGCAAACTGGCACATCCCTTAGTAAAAGGCAACACACAGCCAACACATTAACACTTGCTGGGCACGCAGATAACCCCTTGATTGCTCTAGATATTAAACACTTCCTAGCCAATGTCATTAAACAGCAACAGTGTATATGTTTAGTACTGACCACAGTATTAGTTTCACCGATGTTAGTGGCAGTTCCCGCAAGGTCTCAGTTAGTATCAGATTGCCAGCTGCACTATCACAGTCCTGCTAAAAGTCTCTGATCGCCACCATTACGATTATTTAAAAAATTAAATAAAAATTCTTATATATATTTTACCAAAGACATGTAGCAGAATACATTTGGCCTAAATTTATAAAGACATTTTTGTGTGTTTTTTAAAGTGTTACTAAACCCAGGACTCTGCATTCACTATAACTGGTCTCCCACAGTACACAGAACATGGAAGTGCAATTATTTTAGTAAATATAAACTGCTAAATA